CCCCCCAAGGGGTGCCTCCGCCCGCCCTTCGACGGGGAGGGGCGTGTGTGTGTGCGACGAGGGGCATGACCATGAGTGTGCTCCGTCGGTTCGGGGAGGGGCGAGGGAGGAGGGGGGAGGAGGAAGAGGGACGAAGGGGAGGGGGAGGAAGAGGGGCGAGGGAGGGGGGGGGAAGGGGCGGGGGAGGGAGGGAGGGAGAGGAGAGGGACGGGGGGAGGAAGGGGAGGCGGACGAGGATTTGCGGGCGTTGCTGGAGCAGCGGAGGAGAACAGGATGAGGGGAGGAGGCGGATGCGAATCCGTCAAGATGCTCACTTCCCTCGCAGCTTCCTCTCCTCACCCCCTCCTTGTCCCCGTCGTCTCGCCGTCGTCGTTCTCCTCCTCCTCCTCATCATCATCCTCCTCCTCCTCATTCTCTTCCTCCTCCCCTCACCGTCTCCCACCCTCTCCCCTTCCCACCCCACGGTACGTCAATGCCGTCTCGTCCTCTCCCTCCCCCCTCGAGCTTGACCACGCCCCGCTCTCCCTCCCACTGGCGCCAGAGCTGTCGGGAACCAGGGCCCGCCCACGACCAAAGCACTTCGAAGGCAGAGCTGCGTCGCCGAACTGCCGCGGATGCCTGCCCGTCGGTTTTCCTTGGCCCCTCCTCTCGCTGCTACTCTGCTGTCCTTCCTCCTCCTCCTCCTCCTCCTCTCCTCCTCCTCCTCCTCCTCCTCCTCCTCCTCTGTTGCTCCTCATCATCATCCTCCTCTTTCGCACTCCTCCTCTCCTCTTCCTTCCGCATCTTCCTCCTCCTCCTCCTCCTCCTCCTCCTCCTCCTCCTCCTCCTCCTCCTCCTCCCCCTTTCCGTCCAGCAATGCATGATGATACAAACCCGACTTGTCAGGCTGATGTTCTGGTGGGGGGTGCTCAGGGGAGGCTGCAGCACCGCTCGACGATGCGCTCCTTGTCTCTCTGCTAGGTTCCAGCGGGGCCTCTTCAGACCCCCATGCTGACGCGCGCGCGCCTCCTCCTCCTCCTCCTCCTCCTCCTCCTCCTCCTCCTCCTCCTCCTCCTCCTCTCCTCCTCTTCCTCTCGTCCTCCTCCTCCTCCTCCTCCTCCTCCTCCTCCTCCTCCTCCTCTTCCTCCTCTTCCTCCTCCTCTTCCTCCTCCTGCTCCTCCACCTCCTCCTCTCCTCCTCCTCCTCCCTCCTCCCTCGATGTTTTGTTTGTCGCATGCCCTTATAGTCCCTCTTATCCTCCTCCTCCTCCTCCTCCTCCTCCTCCTCCTCCTCCTCCTCCGCAGCGGCTGACGCTGGAATCTAACAATCTTCCAGGCTGGCCTGTGCCTCCCGTGGGTTCTGAAACACAGGCAGATCCGAACCCTCTCCCCCTGGAAGTGAGCGGGCAACACTCCAACGAATGCTGGCATCAGAGGAGATGAGGAGGAGGAGGAGGAGGAGGAGGAGGAGGAGGAGGAGGAGGAGGGGGAGGGGGAGGGAGAGGAGGAGGAGGAGGTGGAGGAGGAGGAGGAGGAGGAGGAGGAGGAGAGGCTGACCCAACCATCCTGCCCAGGCATGATTATCTTCCTTCCGTCCTCTTCCTCCCATCCGTTCACTTCCATGCGCTGCCTCCCTTGCTCCCCCATGGTGCCATCTCTGCGTCCCACCATCCTTCCCTCCTGTGCTGCCTTCGCTGCCCCCCCTGTCGCTTCCTCTCCCAAGCCCCGCGCCGAGCCGAGGCATGAGCTGTTGGTCGTTCCTGCTGAAGGGGCGCCCCAAGCCCAGCGACTGACCGCTGAGGGGAAGCGGTCTTGGGAGTCGAGGATGAACAGACTGGATCGACATGAAAAGCCAGAGCTCCGCGCGCATCTCTTGGACCAGCGCTGGGCACCCCTGGCGGCGCTTCCACCAGCGCCCGTGGCGCGCTCCACGTGCCAGGAAGGGGGGCCCAGCGCAGATCTAAGAAATCCGCGCTGAGCTCCGAAAGTTTATGTCTATGTCATGTGGTATTGCTCTAGATACGAGGGTCGTGTCCGTTGCAGCCAAGGCTTGCATGCCCTGGAACGCTGCCCCATCGGGTGCAAGGACCGCGGGCAGACAAGCGGTGCGGCACTGAATGGCAGGCGAGGCTGGCTTACGAATCTGCCTGCGCTTTGCAGGAGGAGTTGATGCATCTGTGCAGCCAGCGGCCGCATCGGAAACTTGGCATCGCTCGGACGTGTGCATATTCTTCCTTCGGCGAGGACCCTCGAGGAGCACCCCTGAGGATTTGGCGAGCAAACCACGCACGAAACCGAAAAAAGCACCGGGAATGGACGTCCGAGCGGTGGCCAGGAAATGGGCTGTCGCAAAACCATCAGCCAGGCCGCACCGTCGACCGACCGCACCGTCTGCCCAGCCTTGGGAGGGACGGGCCCGCTCTCTGCGGCCGCACCGGTGGCGCACCGCCGCCGGACACTAAGCGCCCGGCGCGCCCTCGCCGGCGCGAGCGGCCGCGTAGTGTGCGTCGGGCGCCTCGGCTGCGCCGTGCCTCTGCGGGGGCAGAAAGTGAGGGCCAGGCGGGGCAGGGAGGAGGGGGAGGACCCAAGCTAGGTGCGCTCGCGTCATATCTGACATCCCCTCCCTCCCATCCCTTACCATGGCGCAGATCCCCTCTCTACTCGCTCAGTCGGATGTCGAGCAGGGCAGTGATGGGTGACCAGAGTACAGTCGGGGCCCTGAGGAGGGAGCCCTTTTCGTCGGTGAGGGGCTCGGTGTTCCTGGATCGTTTCTGCAGTTTGCCCTCTGCTTTCCCGAGGTTGTCCATGGGAAGTCGAAGCTCAACTCATGGGAGCAGGGGGTGTTCTGCAGTTTGCCCTCTGCTTTCCCGAGGTTGTCCATGGGAAGTCGAAGCTCAACTCCTGGGAGCAGGGGGCCCCGTTCCTTAGGTAGGGCTCCTGAGGTCAACGCCCCGACGGTAGACCAGCAGACGCACACGCGATGCTGCGGCACGCCCTCCCGTCGCAGCTCCCGTCCCCTCCCACATGCCTGTACTGCAGCTCCTCCTCTGAAGGTGCAACACCGTCGGCCCCGTCCTTGTCGGAGTGGGCGCCGCCTTGAAAGAGGACCTGCCTCGCATCATCCTGGCGCATCGTATGGGACGCCGCATAGCAGTGCTCAGACGGTTCCACGAGGTGTCCAGCGATTTCCCCGTTCGAAGAAGTGCCGTCACCCATTCGCGCAACCACTGCACACATTTTCACTGTGGCCATGAACTTCGAGGACTGCGCAAGTAGCAGCTCCACTTAAGAGAAAGAGCCGCCGTGGATCCGCGCAGCGCTACGTGCGCTGAGGTTTCGAGCCCCAGGCGAGAACTCCATGTTGAGAGGAAAAGTATTCAATCCTGCGAGTCGTTGCAGGAAGAACCGAATGCACGTGGCGCTGAGGCGAGAACCCCATGTTGAAAAGGAACCGCCCTCCACCTGTGAATAGAACGCACAGTTTACAGTCGAATGTGCGCACGGCGCTAAAGCGAACCACATTTAAAAAGTGGCTCCCCCTACATCCGTGAAGTTGGTGCAACCTTCCAAGGCGAATGTGCGCAGCGCTTAGGAGAGAGAGCCACATGTTGGAAAGGAACCCCACTACATCCGTGAAGACTGCTGCCGTGTCTAACACGAGTGCGCGCGGCGCTACAGCGGTTCCACCCCTGCGAAAACGACTCCAATACATTCGTAGATGCACAGGTTGAGAACGAATTCGCGCGGCATGCGGGAGCCACATTTTGAATCCGCCCCTCAATCCGAGAAGCTACTGTACATCTGTAAGACGAAAGTGTTCGGCGCCCAGACGAGAACCACATTTTACCCCCCCTCCGCCCCCACCCCTGGAGCGAGTGCAAAGTCTGAAGGCAAATGGGCGCGCGGCGCTAAGGCGAGAGCCGCGTTTTGAAAACTACCCCCCCTCCACCCGTGAAGCTGATGCGACCCTCCACCGCCAAGGCAACCCCGCTTTCGGCATCGAAATGGGGTCGCACGGGGGTTCCGAACACAGCCGCGGTGTCCGTGATGCCCGATGGGCGCGTTTTTTACGCCAACGGCGGCTGTTGCGCGTGGCCTCGACGGCTATGTCCACATCTCCGTGCGTGTGTTCGGCCCAGGGGGGCGCTCACCCGCGTCATTGAAGCAACACAGGGACGCACAAATAAATACACACAAATAAAACTATTCCCCATATTTTCCAATATTTTCTAGGTCTTTGTCTTCCCCCCCACTTCCCATATTTTCCTATAGTTTCTAGGGGGTCGACGATGAATTGTGTCTGTGTGTTTTTTTTCACTCCTGAGTAATGTTCTCCGGCCCTGCGATGAGCCTGCGTATCAACACACCTTCTGAGTGGCTCCAACGACGCAGTTCTCCCGAGTCACATCGCAATGGTTGCCATTCGCGGGCTCCCGTTCGGCAGGACAGCCTCATTTGCGCAAACCTTGTTTGTCCCAATGCTGCTGTGGTGTTATGTTTGGCCATCTCTTTCTCAACGGTGGCCCGCCAATTCCCCTTACTTCCTCTTTCTCCTGCCTCCTCCTTCATCCTTCCCTGTTTCCTTTGTGCCCAGGACGGCTCTCCCAGCTAAGGCCCGCGTGGGCGGGTTCGAAGAAGTACCGCTCCCAGGGCACGCGCGTCGCGCATGTCGTGTCCGTTCCCTTGCTCATCCCGCGCCCAGAGTTTCCCGCCCCTCCACTCGGGCGCACGGCCCCCTTCTTCTCCCCCCATGACGGAGCCCCAGCCACGCCCCTGCTGGCGGGTTCGCGTGCCGCTCTTTGGCCACGCATCGTCCACAAAGTGTCCCTTCCCTGCCCCGCCCAGAATATCGAATACTTTGAATGATTATGGATTCCTTTTCTGCCGCCTGCTGTCTAGTCGCCGTGTTGTGCGGAGGTACCAACGTCGTTGCCGACGTGGGCACTTTCCATACTCTCCGTAGCCAATTTGGCCCACGCGCAGCTGCGAGCCGCCATGCAGCTGCAATCCGGCTAGGGCGGCATGGGGGCCCCCGACTTGCGGTTGTTCCTGCTGCCTGCGACGGCAGCGCTTGCCGCGTCTGGCGGCGCACCGCAAGGCGCGCTCTCGCGCCGCGTGAGCTCCCAAGGCGCCGAACCGACCACTGTGGAGGGCGTTCTCGAGCTGTTCGGACTACCTGGGGATCCAGAGCTGCTCCGCGGCGAGCTGCGAGCACGACTGCGTGGACTGCCTGTCGTACCGCCATGGGTGGCCCCTGCGCTGGAATCCATGCAATGTTATTCCTGCGACAGCGAGTCGTGCCCAAGCGGCCTGAGCTTGAAGACTGGCCCCATGTTGCCCTCCGCGCAGGCCTGCGAGCCACCGGACCAGGCACAGTGCTGCGACACCACCACATCGTCGACCACTTCCACGACTTCGGCCACATCATCGACATCGACCATAAGTACCACTTCCTGCACCACTAGCACGCTCAGCACGACGACTTCTACGACTTTGACCACAACGACGACCTCCACGTCGACCTCGAGCACCACGACCACCTCGACCACGCCCTTCGGCGGTCCGTTTGACTGCACAGCCGATTATGAAGACCTTGCCACAGCTTGGTCTGGTTGGAAGCTCCAGTGGTGCTGCGAGAATGAGGGCATGGGGTGCCCCACGGTGACGAGCACGCTCACGGTTCTGACCGAAACAATCACAAGTTTGACTGCGTCATCTATCACCACCGTCTCCTCGACGACTGTCTCCTCATCAACGACTCTCTCCTTAACCGTGACCACAGCTTCAGCGACCACTTTCACGGCGTCCACAAGCAGCTTCACCGTCGAATCGGGCTGTCAGTCAGCCATGGACCTGCAGGATGCATGCACGCTGTGGAGCATGACGGAGCTTTCGTGGTGTTGCAGGCACAGTGGGTACGGATGCCCGTTATATGATTGCGACGCAGGATTGGATGAGGCGGAATTTGGATGGTCCAACCCCAAGATGAGTTGGTGTTGCACGTGCATGGAGAAGGGGTGCGTCACATCGACGTCGACATTGTCAGACACCACGAAGTCGGACACCATCACGCGTACATCGTTGTCCACTACAACAACCAGCACGACCACCCTGACCACCACTACAACCAGCACGACAACGTCCACAACGTCGTCTCACGTGTTTTGCGACTGGAGCAACACAACTTCCTGTCCGTGCGGAACAGTCTGCACTGGATGCGCCCCCAGCGACTTCGATACCAGCGTGTGCTGCGTGGACCGTTGCGGCCTGGAGTTTGCCCTGGGCGAGTTCGGGCTGCCCATTCAAGGCGCAGCGGACCTCCAACTGCAGCTTGCCGCAAAGCTTGAAGGTGCCGATCAGCCAGGGGCCACCTGCAACGCATTGATGGAAGCCGGCAGCCCCAGTAACTGCACTGCAGACCTGGCAAGCGGGGAGCGCTGCTGGGCCGAGTGCCCCGAGGACATGCTTGCGGTGGGCTTCTTCTCGTGCTTGGATGGCGTCACGGTTGGTACATCTGAGTGCTTCTATTTACCAGCCTCGAACGTATCCCTATCCCTAAGATTGACACGCCAAAAGGCGATGACAATCTTAGGGATTCGCCCTCAAAACATAAGGAAATCCCTAAGGTTGGCATCGTGATGAGGAGGTGCCCAGCATAGGGATAGGGATATGTTCCAGGCTGGTAATCTATCTGGCTGGGAATGTCACCGTGGAGGAGAAGAACGCGCTCACGTCGGCCGTGCGGGCCACGCTGGACGGAGCGCCCGCGGCCGCGGCTGGGATCGACGTCGGCTCGGCCGCCCTGTGGCGAGGGGTGCTCGCCGCGGCCTTCGGCATCGATCACTCCGAGATCTCCAGGCTCTCCGTGGCCGACGACGGCGGGGGGCGCCGTCTCGTCGCACCCCCCTCGAGGGGGCTCGTCGGGCTCTCGAGCGTTGTGGTCGCGTACGAGGTGGTCATCACGACGGCGGCCGACGCGGACTCGCTGCTGGCCCTGGCGGCAGCCCCGCAGGACGCCGTGCGGTCGGAGTTCCTGAGGAGCGCTGGGGCTGGCCTCGAGGCCGTGGCGGTGGCCCGAGAACCGCGGCTGTTCACCACGACGGTAGGGAGCCAGATGACCACACAGACCACCGTCACCTCGACCACTCCTACAGCCACCTCGCTCACGGAGACTGGCACCACCGTGACCATCAACCACGATGCCGCCGTCAGCGGCATCAACGCCCTGGACGAAAGGGTGCTGTTCTTCGTCGCCAGCCTGGGCGCCTGCGCCGTGACCATGTTTTTCGTGCTCGTGGTCGTGATGGTCTGGTGGAGGCACGTGGATCGCGCGCGAGAAGAGCACGAGGACCCGACGCGCGACGAGCCTCCGGAGGCGAATGCCCAGAGTGCCGAGCCCGAGCCCGACCTGCAGAAGCCGCCAGGATCCCCCGCCGACACTTGTTTTTTTTTTGTTTTTAATATATGTCATCCGTATGAAAAGTTTTGAGTTAAAAAGATAAGCACGACGAGCAAAGAAGGATTCCTCACCGACACCTTCGAGCGGACGAGCGACCAGGAGATCCTGGAGGTCTTCGACGACCGCCCGCAGCGCCGCCACGACGCGCCCGGCGAGTCCGACGCCGACAGCCTCGCCAGCGGCGAGGCGGCCGGCGGGGCCACGGAGGCAGAGCTGGGCGGCGGCGCCCCGAAGGTCGGGAGGGGAAAAGACACACACGCAGATGGCCGGCGGGCCGACGTTGAGAAAGAGGTGGCCAAAGATAACACCACAGCAGCACGAGCGACGCGCCTGACCTGGGGGCGGTAGTTATTCGAACCCGCCCACGCGGGCCTTAGCTGGGAGAGGCGTCCTGGGCACAAGGGAAGCAGGGAAGGAGGAAGGAGGAGGCAGGAGAAAGAGGAAGCAAGGGGAATTGGCGGGCCACCGTTGAGAAGGAGGTGGCCAAACATAACACCACGGCAGCATTGGGACGGGCAAGGTTTGCGCAAAGGAGGCTGCCCTGCCGAACGGGAGCCCGCGAACGGCAACCCTGGCGATGTGACTCGGGAGAACTGCGTCGTTGGAGCCACTCAGAAGGTGTGTCGATACGCAGGCTCATCGCAGGGCTGGAGAACATGACTCAGGAGGGGAAAAGCACACAAACACAATGAATCGCCGATTCCCCAGAAAATGTAGGAGAATATGGGCAGGGGGGGGGAAGACAAAAACCCAGAAAGTATTGGAACAAATATGGGAAGGGGGGGGAGACAAAAAGCCCGAAGGTCAGGAGGGCAAACACACACACACACACACACAGACACAATTAATCTTAAAGTCGGGCCTGTCCCCCTACAGGGGGATCTTCGACGAAAAATAAAGAATACCCCAAAAATAGTCAAGAATAATCGTCGACCCCCCAGAAAATGTAGGCAAATATGGGAAGGGGGGGGGAGACAAAAACCCAGAAAATGTTGGAACACCTGGGGAATCCTGTTGTTTGTGTCTCTTTATTTGTGTGTCCCAGGGCCCTTTCAGAAGGTGCGGCTGCCGTCCGTGTGCAGCCACGCGAGCAGCGGCAAGTCGGCGGCCGTGGCCAGGCACAACAAGATCCCGGAGCTCTGGGAGGAGGAGGGCGGTGCCGGCCGGCCTCCGTCGGCACAGGCCAGGGCTGGACCTAAACGGTGTTTTGGCGATTTCATGTGCCGTTTTCGTTTCGATTTCGTTCTGCGGTAGGGGTGGACTGAAGACGAAACGAGGGGAAACGAAAACAAAACGAAAACGAAAAACACCGTTTCGGTTCAGCTCTGGCACAGGCGATGGAGTATCTGACCGACGCCTGCATGCTCTCCCTGCAGATGTGAGCAGGCGTTGGTCCAGTCTCGAGTCGGCGGCGAGCGAAGGGGGGGAGATGAGAAGGAGGAGGCCTTCGCAGAGGGCGGCCGGACTTCTCGGAAGCCATCGCGCCTCCTGGGAAGGTGTCTGCATCTCTGGGGGAGGCTCAGGCAACTTCTCAGAAGGCCGGGGGACTTCCGAGCCTGCCGAGAACCAGGCGGTCGCAAACATGGACCAAGGGGGCGTGGATTAGCGACGGGTCCCGTTTCCATGGGAAATCGCTGATTTCCGCCGCCGAGCGAGGCGGCGCCGGCCGCATTTTGGGGAGGGCACCTACCCCGATCCATGGATGTGGCGCCCGCGCGCCAAATCCATGGATCGCTAATCCATGTCTGCGCGCCCCCGAGAGAAGGCCTTCTCAATCACAATCTCACTCACCCTCCTGGGTTCGCCGCCGCTCGAGTGCGGCACAAGCAGAGGGCCTCCTCCTCCTCCTCCTCCTCCTCCTCCTCCTCCTCCTCCTCCTCCTCCTCCTGTGCACCGCCTTGCGCACGGAATTCACCGCACTCCGCCGCGGCCGGGAGCGAAGTGGAGCAGGGCCTGCTGCCGCCAGCTCTCCAGACTTGCTCGCCTCACTGTCGCATGTCCCCCCCCCCCGGGAGCGAGTGCACGGACAGAGTGCGGAAATTGCCCCACTTTGTGAGAGACGGGACGCCGAAGTCGTCCAGAGGACAGCTCTGGCTCGCCGGGCCCGGAATGACGGCACCCCGGCACGGGCCGCGCTGTTTCCGCATGCGTGTAAACGAGAACCCCAGGTAGGCAGGAATGAGCCAATCACAGGATGTCGCGAGCGCTTGCTGCGAAAAATCTAGCTTGTATCTTTCTTTATGACAACTTGAGATTGCTATTGGGCCCTGCAACGATTCGACGGGAAAGCAAATTCGATGTGGCCGCTGGGTCCACAATGGGCTCGAGGGGGGCCCAGCAAAATCCAGGCGCATGTGCTTTTCCCGATATGGCAGCCAAGGTGGTGCAGGACTGCTCCACGGTGGGCGACTGACAAGTCGCGAGACGCTAGTTGGTGTGAAGCGATTTGGAGGGGGACATGCAACATTGAAAAGGGCACCCGAACCAAATTCGTCAACAAGAACTCGCAGGCGCCAGGTGAGAGCCTTGGCACATGACGGGAAGCGCCCTCGCGGCGTGACTGATCTCGCGAAATCGCGAGCTAGCTCCTTGAGCAGTTCGTAGTTGAAGGGTCCCCTACAAGTCCAACTTCCTGGCGCCCTCGCATGATCCCTCCCGGTGATCTTCGCTCCGTGGCCCACGTGGCCCTTGGCCAGTGGGTGCTTTGCTATGGTAATGCCGATGTTCATCACGCTTCGCGTTCACCACCCGCCGATTCTGGCTCTCTTTTGAAATCTTGAGACGGCTCTGCTAGAGGGCATGCCGAAACAAGGCAAAGGTAGGCCCGCAAGTGTGTTCTGTACCTCCTCTTGCGCCCCTTTCTCCTGCATCCGCTGGCCGAGTGAGCTCGGATATGCCGTGTGGGTGCACGATAGTTGGACCACCGTTTGATCGTTGGACCGTTATCGCCGCCAACGGGTCAGTGATAGGGATGCTGGCTCTCTGGGTCGTATCCGCAGCTGGAGGCCAGAAGTTTGTCTGGAGACGGTCCAACACTGCTCATGTCGGGCGTGCCCCTCCACAGGAGGAATATTCTTGACTAGTGAGATCATAGTCTGGGGAAGATGTTCGTGCTGTTGGGATTTTGTTCTAACTGTTGTTTGGCTGTGTTTTGGTTGTTCTTCGCATACCCGCCGGCAGGAGGACATGCCCGACCTAAGGGACAGGCCCGAGGCGGCCCAGGAGGGCCGGCCCGCGCGCGTGCCTCGCGCCGGGAGCGGAGCCTCGTCCGAGCGTGCATCCGAAGCGTGCCCAGGTCGGTGTCCGTTGGGCGCAGTACAGCCAGCCCGCAGAATGGAGGATGACGCTTCATAAATGACCGGGGGTCGTGTCCACGCGGCGGCGCCCGGGATGACGATTAGAAAACACCGGCCGCGGGCTGGACAACTATTTCTTTTAATCGTTCTCCTCCAGTCAGAAACTTGTGCAGAAATCGCCGAAACTTTTTTTTGATAATCCTTCTCTCCCATTTTTCATTATTAATCGTCAACCCGCATAGCAAGGATGGGCGACTGTCCAAGTTTGTTTGCCGATGCATCCTTCCCCCATCGGCCCCTCCTTGGCCGCCTTCGCTCGCCGCGCCCCGCTCGCAGAGTGTCGGCGTTGCCTTCCGAGGCCCTTGCATCCGTATCGTGCGTCCTTCCTATCCGGGCTGACTGTATCATCAAACATGGATCCGCGTGGTAATTGTGATCGTTTTCTTACCCATTGTTTTCAGGAGGGGAAAAAACACAGACACAATGAATCGTCGATTCCCAGAAAATATGGGAAAGTATGGGAACTGGGCGGGAAGACAAAACCCAGAAAACGTGGGAAAATATAGGGAATCCTTTTATGTGTGTGCATTTATTTGTGTGCCCCATGGCCCCTTCATGTTTCGCCGATCGGCGCGTGCCCTCGGACCTCCTCCCCCCCCTCCCCCGTGGACTGGGCCTTGGCGGCTCCTGGGCGCCTGCTGCGAGCAGGCAGGGCCTCCCCCCTCGGGCGCACGGACTGCAAGCAGTCGCGCAGAGCACGGCTTCGGAGCCAGACCCCCCCTCCTCCCTCCCTTCCTCCCTTTCCTCCCCCCCTTCCTCCCTTCCTCCCTCCCCTCCCCTTCCTTCCCCCCCTTTCGCTCCGTGTCGGAGAGCGTCGCGTCCGAGAACGTGGACTCGCCACCTGGGGACAGTCGGCAAGCGAGCCCGAGCAGCTGCTCCGAGAGAGGCGCCCGGGCGACCCGCACCCGTGCGAAGTCGCCCAGAGCTGCAAAGCGTTGGCGGAAAGCTTCCGAGAGCATCGGCGACGTGGGGGCCAAGAGGCCGATCCTCCTGGAGGCCCAGGGGAGGTCCGAGACGGGCCAGAGTGGCGCGGAGTGCGCCTCCCGGAGAGAAGACGGGAACGGTCTGGAGTTCGAGCTCGTCCTGGACTCCGCCTTGAGCCCGTCTTGCGTTCCGAAAAGGAGATGGAGCGCAGCTGGCGGCGGGCCGCCGCCGCCACCGCCGTCGTCGTCGCCGTCGTCGTCGTCTTCGTCGTCGTCGTCGTCGCCGACGCCGGCGTCGTCACCGACGCCGTCGTCGTCGTCGTCGTCGCCGCCGACGCCGTCGTCTTCGTCGTCGCCGCTATCGTCCCCTGAGGCCCGACGTCGCGACAAGAACATGCAACCTCGTGAACAGTCACTACCGCAGCCCTTGACCTTCTCTTTCTGCTGCACCTCCCGAGCCTGATCGATCCGTGAGGGCCCCGGGGCCCAAAATATTGCGAGACCGCTCGGCGCGGAACATGTGCGACGCCAGGACCTTCACTCTGTGTGCTCTCGCTGGCGGCACGGTTCGATCTGCTGCGATTCCTGTGCGGCCCACTCTGCCGCGGGGCCAGACCGTCGTCCCGTTCGACGGGTGGCTGCGCCCTCCCCCCTTTCGCTCCTGCCCGAAACGCGCGGCGCCAGGGCCTCTCCTCCCGTCGTCTGCCCCCCCCCCCCCCCCCCCACGGGGTCCCCCTCGCCGTCTCGGAGCCTCGTGGCCCGGTGCCCGCCAGCACCCCCCCCCCTTCCCCGGCGAGGCGCAGGGCCAAGCCCGCGCCCCTCCCCCGCCACCCTGCCTGCAGGCCCCTCGGGCCCCTCCACCCCGCCCAGGGGCCGCCCCTGCCCCCGCGCGCTGCCTCGAGGGCCCCCCGCGCCTGCGACGGCGCGCCGAGGACGCTGCTCTTTGGGCGCGCGCGCCTCCTCGCCCGGCGCTTGCCGCGGCGCGCCCGATGCCCGTGGGCGCGGCGGCGCGCCGGGCGCGGCGCCGCGGCGCCTTCGCGCGGGAAGAGCGGCGGGCCAGCGGAGCAGGACCGCGGGAGTCGACCAGACGTACACGCTGGTCGTTGACAGCAGGTATTTGTTTGGATGCTCCACGTCCCCATCCACTTCGAGCGCCTCGTCTGCTTCTTTTGCCGTGTCTTCTTTTTCCACTGGGAGGGCCTGGGCCCATTCTACTGGATCCGCCTTCCTGCATGCTTCCTGCGTTCCCCTGCCTCTTCCGACCGACGGGCAAGAGTGACCCTTCGACGGAGTGATCTTCGATGCGGGCCCCAACGGAGTCCTCCGATCGCCGCACGCAGAAGCGGCAGCAGCGGCGTGCGCGCGCCCAGGTTTTGCCCCCCCACCCCCCCCCCTCCCCCCGCGCCCCCCGAGAAGCCGCGCACCAGAGGTCCCTCTTGCCCAGGGTCACTCCTGCGTGGAGCCGAGGGCGAGAGGCCAGGGGGGGGCTGGCTTTTGAGTTTGAGAAAACTGCTTTTCAATGCAAAAAGATTGCTCTTGAATTCAAAACATTGGTTTTTTGAATTCAAACACCCCCTGGCCGCGCACCCGTCGTTTTCCTTCTGCCGCCCTCTGCTGGTTCTCTTCCTGCCGCCTCCCTCCCCCCCCCCTCCCTCCACGAGGGCGCCCAGTCCCTTATATAAAGGCGGCCCTGGCAGGCTACCCGGGGCCGGACGGGCGCGAAGCCCCAGGCCCGGGGGTCCCCCTTCTGCAGTGGGGGTGGGGACCCACTCGCGTGCCCCCAGGTCGAGACCGAGGGGGAGGGGGAAGGGAGGGAGGGAGGGGCCCTGGCAAAGGATCCAAGGGCAAGCCATCCATACGGCACCGATGGCGGGCCACCTCGGCGAGAGTCGATGACCAGCGCCAACATGGCCCGCACTCCGTCAAACGAGCCCAATTCACTGCAGCGCGAGCCTCACGACCTCTCGCGTTGCCGCTGGTGGCGGCACTGCTGGGTCAGGGGCGGCGTGAGGGCCTCCTCTCCAAGACCCCTGCACCAACACCGGACTCCTTGCGCGAAACGCCCAGCGCCTCCTGACCCCCAAATGTCCACTCGGCCGCATCCCCCTCGGGATCCAGCTCTCTCGGAAGAGGCGCGGCCACAGGAGCATGGCCCGACAGCGGCGCCCCCGAGGTCTCGGACGAGGCAGCCGCAGCAGCGGAGGCGGCCTCGGCGCACGCGCCCTGGAAGGCCGCCGCACGGACCGCACGAGGAGGCCCCTCCCTCCTGGGACAGAGCCCCCCTGGCGATCCGCGACGAAGCCTCAGCTCGTTTCTTCCTGGTGTGGCCTGGGCACGTCTTGCGGAGGAGATGCCGGACATCGTTGGGGGCGAGACGGCCACGCACGTGGCGGTGCGTCATGCCATACATGCCCCACCCCCCCAGGGATTGGGTGGCGGGCACAAGCTCTCCCCCATCCCAGGCCTGGCAGCCTGCCTGCAGGCACGAGGCCCTTGCCCGTGCAGGGGCACGGCCGGTGGTACAGGGTCGGAGCAGGGCGTGGCGCAGAATTCAACCAGGAAGCTCGAGTGCACCAGCTGGGCACACTTCTGACGGCGCCACTTGGACGCTGCTTTGGAGAGTTCATGCTGGGAGCCCCGCGCGGCTAACTTCGTTCTGGGGACCTTCAAAGTCCTTCGCGCAATCTGTTCGCGCTCCGCACGGCCCATGTCGGATTCTAGGGTCAACTCTAGCCTCTAGCGCCTTGCAGGCTCGCATGCGTACCAGAGCAGCCGCCGCGTCCCAGCAGTCCGCGTGGGCCGCTGTTTCCACAAGCCCCACCACCCCACGCGCTCTCCGACGCCCAACCCGACCCCTACAGTGGAAACCCGTGCCAAGGAACACCCTGCTTGCCTCCAGGGTGCGCTGGGTTTTTTGGGTCTCGATGGTTTTGCTATGGGAAGCGCGACGCCCCCGCACGAAAAGCCAATGGACGTCCTGGGGTCTCAGGGATGGGTTTCTCGTGGAAGGTTTCTTGTGGTCGAGCTCCTGCTGCATCAGCAGCTGCACTGCCAGCGGCCAGGAGCAGGTCGCGATCAGACAGCAGGCGATGGTCCAGATCATCCTCAGCGTGTGAGTCTGTCCACTACAGGAGTGATCGTGCTGGCTCCCCGGGCCTCCCTGGGCAACCCTGATGTGGTGCCGCGGGGAGTATGGGGGAGGGAAGTGGAGGACGGGGGGAGGAAGAGGAGGAGGAGGAGGAGGAGGAGGAGGAGGAGGAGGAGGAGGAGGAGGTGTAGGAGGAGGAGGTGTAGGAGGAGGAGGAGGAGGAGGCGGAGGAGGAGGGGAGGAGGAGGAGGAGGAGGAGGAGGGAGGAGGGAGGAGGGAGGAGGGAGGAGGGGAGGAGGGAGGAGGGAGAGGGAGGAGGGAGGAGGGAGGAGGGAGGAGGAGGAGGAGGAGGAGGAGGAGGGGAGGAGGAGGGCGGGATGAAGGGAGGGCGGGGGAGTCGGAAGAGGAGGAAGGGAGGAGGAGGAGGAGGAGGACGACGACGCGACGAGGACGACGAGGACAACGAGGACGAGGGAGGTGGAGTTGGACGAGAAGGTGGAGGAGGGAGGAGGGAGTTGGAGGAGGAGGGGGGGGGAGGGAAGGGGAGGAGGGAGTTGGAGGAGGAGGAGGGGGAGGAGGAGGAGGAGGAGGAGGAGGAGGGGGAGGAGGAGGAGGAGGAGGTGGAGGAGGAGGAGGAGGAGGAGGAGGAGGAGGAGGAGGAGGACCAGTGTAATCCCAAGCTCCAACCTCCCTCCCTCCAACCTTACTCCGAGCTCCCTCGTCCCAGGTCCCTACAGAGATTCAAGTCCAATAAAGGAAGGGCCCCGTTGAAACAAACGTTTGAACATCTGGAACTGTGCCAACAAACCAGTCACCCGACTTCATCGCCGCGAATCGCAGGTGCTGTTGCGTCGTGACGATCGTGAATCGTGCCAGAACGCACGAAACAACACCACGAAACAACGTAATTGTTGCGCCCGGGCAGCCCGACATCATACCAACACGCCACTCCTGGTACGTTAACCATGAGAAGCCGTGGACTTGTTGTAATCTCTCAGGACGAATGTGCGCGGCGCTAGGGTGAGAGCCATACTTTGGAAAGGAACCACCCTCCATCCGTGAAGCTCTTGCATTTGTATAAGGAATGCGCGCAGCGCTATGGCAAGAATCTCATGTTGAAAACGGCCCGCCCTCTTATCCGGGAAACTCTTGCATGTTTGTGTGACGAATGTGCGCGGCGCTCAGGCGAGAGCCACATTTTGAAAACGACCCGCCCTCCATCCGTGAAGCTCTTGCAAACGCGGCGCTCAGGGGAGAGCAGCATTTTGAGAAACACATGCCCTCAAGCAGTGAAGCCCATTGCGCTGAGATAGATGTGCGCGGCGCCAAGGCGAGAGCCACAGTTTGAAAGCAACTCAACCCCCCTCCGTCCTCCTTCCGTGAAATTGCTGCAACTTCTGAGTTGCAGAATTGCAAAATGTGAGACAGTATCAGGCGATACGCTCGTCCTGCCCTTCCGACTGGCCGTGCGACAGCGATGGGGTGGGGAAAGTAGGAGGAGGGGGGGGGCGATACGGAAAAGGAATGGAGAGGGGAGGAGTAAGAGTAGGAGTAGGAGGGTGCGATACAGAAATTGAATAGATGGGGGATGGAAGAGAAAGAGCGAGAGGGGAGCGAGAAGGGATCGCCACACTGTGGCTCAAGATCCAGGCAAACAGGTGCGGGCGAAGAGGGGAAGGCAGGGTGTAGGGAGAGGATCATGGGAGGAAGGGCGGAATGAGGAGGAGGAGGAGGAGGAGGAGGAGGAGGAGGAGGAGGAGGAGGAGGAGGAGGAGGAGGAGGAGGAGGAGGAGGGAGGAGGGGCGAAGGAAGTGAGCTACGTGCAGGGAAGAGGGAGGAATGGAGGAAGGGGGGGAACACCAGGTTCCAGTCACGGCGGCGCAGGATGGCGTCAAGTCGACGTTCGCTGAAGAGCGAGACGCGGCTTGGGCACACCTGTTCTTCCCCGCCGCCCGCCACATTGGCACCTTCCCCAGCCACTCCGACACTGGGGCCTGGACGGAAGAAGGAGGGAGGAGTTGGAGGAGGAGGAGGAGGAGGAGGAGGAGGAAGAGGATGAGGAAGAAGAGAGAGGAGTAGGCGGGAGGAGAGGAGTAGGAGGACGCCAAGAGGAGAGGAGGAGGAGGAGGAGGAGGAGGACTTATAATGACAACGAGGAGGGAGAAGGAGTGAGGAGGAATCAGAAGGAGGAGGAGGACGAGGAGGAGGAGGAGGAGGAGGAGGAGGAGAGGTGGAGGAGGAGAGGTGGAGGATGCGGAAGGAGAAGTGAGGAGGAGAAGGACGAGGGAGGAGGAGGAAAGCTGTGGTGGAGGAGGAGGAGGAGGAGGAGGAGGAGGAAAAGGAGGTGGAGGAGAAGGGAGGAGCTGGAGGATGGAGGGGATGACCACAGGTGTAGGTATATCAGTTTCGATTTCGGTTCGAGTCGTGCGTGACGCGGGCGCGGGCGAGGCGAAGCAGCGCGAGTCCTTGCACCGGCAAGTCCCAAGTCACGACAGAAGGAGTCGCGTCTCCGTGCGCGGGGGCGTAGCGTGCCTGGAGTTGTCCTGCGGTTGTCCCGTGATTGTCTTGTGGTTGCCCCGATGGCTGTCCCCACGACTGCCCCTTCCCCCCGGGCCCCGCAGACGGGTGGAGACGCAGGAGTGGCAGAGGAGGAGGAGGAGGAGGAGGACGAGGAGGAGAAGGAGAAGAAGCAGGAAGGGGAAGAGGAAGAGGAAGAGGAGGGGGAAGAAAGGGCGGAGGAGGAAGATGAGGAGGAGGACGAGGAGGAGGAGGAGGAGGAGGAGGAGGAGGAGGAGGAGGAAGAGGGGAGGAGGAGGGCGACGAGGAGGAGAATGAGGAGCGGAGGAGGAAGATCGAAAGCAGGAGAAGGAACAGAAGAGGAGGAGGAGGTGGAAGAGGAGGGGAAAATTGAGAAGCAGTAGAGGTTGAGTAGGTTGGAGAAGAGGAGGAGCAGGAGGAAGAGGAGGAGGAGGAGGAGGAGGAGGAGGAGGAGAAGGGAGGAGAAGGGAGGAGAGGAGGAGGAGGAGAGGAGGGAGGAGGAGGAGGAAAGGAAGGAGGACGGTAGGAGGAGGAGGATGAGGAGGAGAAAGAGGGAGGACGGGGGAGGAGGCAGAGCAGCAGGAGGAGAAGGAGGGAGTGAGACGAGGAAGGGCCCGAGGACGCTGGTAGCTGGCCGCCAGCGGCAGATGCCCCTGGGCTCGTCCAAGAGCTGCAGCAGCCTGCACGGGCCGTCCCTGGAGCCCGACGCCTTGGCCGCACCCGGCGATGATCCAGGACGGCCCTCTGCCTCCATCCTCCTCCTCCTCCTCCTCCTCCTCCTCCTCCTCCTCCTCCTCTCCTCCTGCTCCTCCTCCCCCCCTTCTCCTCCTCCTCCTCCCTCCCTCCTCCTCCTCCTCCGCCTCCTCCTCCTCATCCCTCCTCCGTCCTACTTCTCCGCTGGCGTCCAGATTTGACAAGCTACTATCTTGCGTGACCAGGATCCCGATGAAGGTCCATCGACCCCAATAGTTCAGGAAACGGCATGTCCCACACCTCCACCTTTCACTCCCACTGAGGATCCCCATGCTTGTGGCATCCGACTCGGTCCTATCCCCATCCCGGCCCCACTGGGGAGCTGTTCCGAAGGCCGTGGCCCCAAGTACCTACGCGCGATATGTGCATGCACATGGGATGTTGGCATACATCGCCAGTCACTGGATCGGAAGGCTTGGTTTCAGGTCCTGAGATCATGCCAGATGTAATCGATATCTACCCAGCTGGGCTAGCAGGGGGTGTCAAGGACTAGCATGGCCAGCGCCGCCTTCCTGTATGGGCTGCTGTGGGCGCCACCACCGCCCACGAACAGCAATGGCCTCTGGGATTCCACGCTCGCGCGCTCCCGACAGCCCCGAACGCCTGCCCACTCGGAGGGCTCTCCGCGGTTGCCGAGTTCGAAGCAGACATCTGGGCTGGTACCTACACGTGCACCGCACTACGTTATGTGTGCACGATGACACTTCGAATTGTGCGCTCTCAAGGGGCACCCACTGGATCGCAAGATCATGTTTGATGGTCTGGTTCAGACTATGACGCGTATGTTAAAGGGATTACATTGGCAAAAACATTCGAGGACACCAGCTTCTCTCTTATAAGGAAATGGCAGATGCGGCAGGTCGTATCGTCGGATGTCCGCAAGCTGCCCGGACCTCACGTGGAGAGTGGAGCTCGACACACCTTGGCACAGGAGCGCTGTCAGCTGGCGTCGGCTAGAGTTTCTCAGTTGCGAAACAGTGCGACGTGCCCTCCCTCACCAGGTGTGCCCGCGCAGACGGCAAGACGGCAGCAGCTCCAGCTGCACAGCATACCAGCCACAGTGGTCCCCCCCCCGCCGCCCCTGATGAAGGAATTCACTCCGCCGCCTCCAAGGTTTGGGCTGCCACAGCGAATGCGCTGACAGTGCACACCAGTCTCTGGGATCCCTTGCCGCATTGCCCGGGCGCCCCGGGCGTCCTCCTCCTCCTCCTCCTCCTCCTCCTCATCCTCCTCCTTCTCCTCCTCCTCCCTCCTCCCTCCGCCTCCTCCTCCTCCTCCTCATCCCTCCTCCTCCTTCCTCCTCCTCCTCCTCCTCATCCTCCTCCTCCTCCTCCCTCCTGAGAGGGCGGGGCGCCGCGCGGCGAGAGGCCGCGAGCTCAGCGACGACGAGGCCCAGCTGGTCTGCGTCCGGGCCCACAGCGGAGCCCACTCCGTCCGGGTGGTGTTCTACACTAGCGAGGGTGGGCCCGGGCCTCCGCCTCTGCCTCCTCCACTCCAGCAAGGCTTATGATGCTCCAACCTGCTTACCAGGAAGAATTTCGAGCGCCCAAAACAGTGCCGAAACTCGAGGGTTTTCACGTGTCGGTCCCTGGGGGGCACTCGGCCGACACTGCTTCGACACTCTTTGGACACTTTTCCGGGTGCTCGAAATTATTTCTGGGATATGGTCCTTAAGTACGATGGGAGCAGCATAAAGCAAGGGAGGAAGAACCACCCGGGCCAGACAACTGGCGTTTACGAAACGGCCCTGGGCGTTGACTTTGCAGGGCCTTGCTCTGCGTGCTTCCTTCCCTGGGTGCGTTTACTAAACGGCTTCGCGTGTCGGGGTGGTTACGGTGGAGGCGTTTGTTAAGGAATAGTGCCAGGAGGCTTCAGACCCTGGAGGGTTCCTTCTCTGATGAGGGCGGCGGTGATAGCCATGGCCGATCCACTGTTGGAGTTCCACCGGCTTCCAGACCCTGGATTCCTTTCCGAGGGTTTCCTTATCCAATGCCATCGCCGTATTGTCGGGGTGGATTCTCCACACACTCTCCAGCCGGGGTCCTCCTCCTCCTCCTCCTCCTCCTCCTCCTCCTCCTCCTCCTCCTCCTCCTCCTCCTCCTCCTCCTCCTCCTCCTCCTCCTCCTCCTCCTCCTCCTCCTCCTCTCTCCTCCCTCCCCCTCCTCCTCCTCCTCCTCCTCCTCGAAATCCTCTCTCCTCCTCCTCCTCCTCCTCCTCCTCCTCCTCCTCCTCCTCCCCCTCCTCCTCCTCCTTCTCGTCCCTCCTCCTCCTCCTCCTCCTCCCAGCCGCGCCACAGGGGCCCAGCCACCCTCTCGAGGCGTGAAGGCCTCTCGACGGCAGGCTTCTCGCTGGCGTCCCCCCCCCCCCTGGAGCTCCCTCTCCCGGTCGCGGGGCCCTCAGAAGGAGAGGCCCGGGATGCAGCTCCGGACCAGGGGACCGGGTCGCGACCCTCTAGGCCTCCGAGATGGGGTCTGAGTAGATGGGGTCGAGGGTCGCGCCCCATCGCCGATTGCGCTGGCGATGCGGCTCGATCGGAGTCCCCCGTGTTTCCCCACGCGGACGTCGCCGATGCATCGCCGACGTCGCCGATGCATTGCCGGTGCATCGCCGATACATCGCCGATGCATCGCCGATACATCGGCGATGCGGCGCGATCCTCCGACCCCATCTACTCCGACCCCATCTAGGAGGCCTCTAGACCCCTGTGGGTCGACGCCATGAGAAAAAATCGTGACGTCGAGCCCAGAGGTCCAGCGCGTTGACAAAAAGCAAGGCGGGTGTGTTTCGCGTTTTTCGGCCTCTAGGGGCCCTCGCCGGGCCCTGGGACCGTCAAAAAACGACTCAGGATGAAAAACTGGCCCCAGGGAATTGGTCGAGACTTCCGGGGACCCCGTATTGAAAAAATCACGACATCGGATCTCTGGGAGGGTCGGGGAGGTGGGAAGACAGGTTGGGGTGAGGGAGGGAGGGAGGGAGGGAGGGAGGGAGGGAGGGAGGAGAAGGAGGAGGAGGAGGAGGAGGAGGAGGAGGAGGAGGAGGAGGAGGAAGGGGGGGAGGAGGAGGAGGAGGAGGAGGAGGAGGAGGAGGTGCATCTTGCTCACGTTCGAGGAGTGAGGGAGGAAGGAAGGGGTAGGTCCCCACCCCTGCTTCTCAAGCGGCACCTCCCGACACAAGAGGTGGGCGCGGCGGGCGCTAGTAGCCCGCGGCGCCAGGACGGACTCCCGAACCCTGTGGGTTCGGTAGCAAGTCTCGGGGGTTCTGTCTTAAGCGTCGGTTTAGTGCCGATTAGCGTTTGGTATTCGATGAGGTAGCGTAGATCTAGCGTCGGATGTGGTCGGTTTAGCGTCGATGTAGCGTCGGCCAGCGTCGATCCACAAGAGCCAACAAGATGGTATGGTAGGCTCCCGTGAGTTGCCGCAGACGGTGGGCCAGGTCCTTCGTCGCTTCCTCTCTGCCCGAGTCTGGGGCGATTGCAGGTTTTTCTTTTCCTTGCCCTGCGGTCGACATCGATCGGCGGACCTTCGGCCACGCTCGAGAGACGGTCTGGCTGCACGGTTTGGACTGTTCCCTTTCAGAAGAGCTGCGAGGGTGGGGCAGGTGACCGAACAAGAAACAACCGCATGAGCATAAATTGTCGGGAGTCCGCGCGCATTTCCTGACTGGGGTCGGCGCTGGGCCCCCCCACCTGCGCGCCACGCGCGCCAGGAACGGCGCTGGAGGCGCCGCCAGGAAGGCGCAGCGCCGACGCAAGAAATCCGCGCGGACCTCCCCGACAGTTTATGCTCAAGTCGGGCCTGCCCCTCCTCAGGAGGAATATTCAAAAATAGTCAAACGCTAGTGCGGGCACGATGTTTGCGATTATGTTTTGGTCTCTTTTGAACACTCTACGACTAGTTTGATCGTTCGTTCAAAATCCGCCCGTAGGGGGGGACACGCCCGACCTAAGTTTATGCTCGTGCTTCCAGAGGCAAAAGCCGGGTGCTGCCAGGTGCGGCGCGGGCCCGCGGCGCCAGTGAGCGGCCCGCGCCGTTCTGGGCCCTCTGGGCCCGTCTTGGCCTCGTGGGGGTTGCTCCGGAGGCCGCCTCAGCCCTTGAGATCGCGGAGCCTTGCGAGAGCAAGGGGGCAGCGACCTGAATTAGACAGCACTATTAGACTAAGCCGAAAGTAGGTCCCCGACATGCGTGCCAGTATGCCTGCACAGCGTGGGCCGCGACCTGGCAAAGTAGGCCCACCGCCGCCAGGGAGCGACGGCAACGGCGAACAAGTAAAGCATTCAAGGCGAAGGCAACGGCAAAAAGTAAAGCCTCCCTGGTGAAGCTGTGGCCACCTTGGGCCAGGGACACCCTTTCGACAGAACGCAAAGCAGGAAGGAGAAGCAGAGCTGGCACGAGCGTTAGAAACACAACCCCTATCCTGGGATGGGGTGCCTTTCAGTCATTCGTGTTGGGTTTGTTTCCGCCTCGGGATGTCTTTTCCCCAGCCGTCCTGTGGTGTGGGGTCTTCGAGGAGACAGCGCCCCGCCTCTCCCACCCGCTGCCCTCCCTCCCTCCCTTCTCCTCCCCCCCGCCCCCTGCCGCCCCCGCCCCTGCCCTCCGCACGCCCCTGTCTCGCCACACCCCTCACACGCTCCGCGGCCGCATCGGGAGCTCCTCCGAAGGCTCCCCGTGGCCGCGTACGCGTGCGCCCGCGCTTCCCAGGGCAGCGCTCCGTGGCCCCCCTGGGGAGCTCCGCCGAAGGCCCCGGTGGCCGCGGCCGCACGCGCGCCCCCCTTCCAGCACAGTCTCTCCCCCCCCATTCCAGGATACACATTGTTCATGTCTGAGTATTCGCAAGTTCCTTGATTTTTTTCTTGGGGGGGGCAAGGATCCTTTCATTTCCACTTGTTCTATGCTGGGCCTCTTTCCTGGCCACTGGGGGGCCGGGAACAATTAGAAACGAGCACGACTAGAAATGAGCACGACTAGAAATGAACGACGTGTACCCCGTGCGCACTTCTCTGCCCGTGAGTTCCACCGCAGGCGGTACCCGCAGCGCGATGTTCACCCCCGCAGACGGTGGGCCCTTCGCCGGGATCGCTGTTCCAGGATCATCTCCGTGGTGCCCTAGGGGCCCTCGGCGGCGGGGCCCTTGCTCCCGACTCCCGCTCTGGTGGCCACGTCCCGACGGTGGAGCTGAGCCTCGCAGTCCGCACAGAGGGCGCCCGAGGGACGGACTCCCCCCCCTGGATACGACATGGATCCGCTTTGCCCCCACAGGGGGGGGGGCAGAGCGGAGGGCGAGTGCCCCCGTGAATGGTGGGCTCACCTGCAGCCGCCGCGGACGACGAGGTGCGCCCAGAGCGCGACCCCGAAGGCGGAGGCGGGCGCGAGAGTGGAGAGTGGAGGAGGAGGAGGAGGAGGAGGAGGAGGAGGAGGAGGAGGAGGAGGAGGAGAAGGAGGAGGAGGAGAAGGCGGAGGAGGAGGAGGAGGAGGAGGAGGAGGAGGAGGAGGAGGAGGAGGGTGTGGAGGGGGAGAGTGGAGCGGGGAGGAGTCAGAACGGGGGAGCGGCGCACTTCCCGGCGCGATCCGCGCCCGCGAGCGCCCGCGCGCGGTGGCGGTGAGCGGTCATTCGCTCCCCCCTTGCAAGTGCTGCCGTGCTCGTCGTCGCTGTGCGCGCTGGCCGTTTTCGATCGATCGATCTGGAAGCAAGGGCCCACCTTTGGACTTGTGGAGGACGATAAATGGAACATTTAAAACAACATGCTTAAAACATGTTTAGAACATGTTCCGACATTTTAAACACATTCTTAATTCAATGATAGGACTGTTAGGGTGTCCATTGTCGTGGCATCCACAACTTTGGACCGAAGGATCGAACGTTTACGCGCATGCCGTTGCTCATTAGTCGATGTTCGGGTATAGCCAGGACCCCAGGAGAGGGGGCCCGGTCAGTAGTGGGGCCCCGGAGCCCCTAAGTTGGCCTGAGTCACCAAACCAGGTCTGCCGTAGCTGGTGCTTTTTCGGGTGACGGCAGTTCCGGTCAGTAGAACAGGGCGGGGGGGATGGGCGTCCCCCAGCACACATCACTAATTAACGGGCGAAGAACGGTGTAAAATAAGCTTCTTCGCTGTCGGGGGCGCCTGTCCCAGGGCGGCTGGAAAGTTTATACCCTTACGGTGGCACCGTAGGGGTATAAACTTTCCAGCCGCCCAGGGGCAGGTGTCCCCGACGGCGGAAAGTTTATGTTATACCGTTCTTCGCTCGCTGAACTAAACCAGGTCCCACTAAACCCAGTTCCGTCAACGCCAGAGATGCGTCGGGGTGCACCATCTTCCCATCGCCCGCTCTGCATGTCGTGGTCGGTCGTCGATCGGTCCTCCATCCTTGCTCGCTGTTTCCCTTTTGCCTCTCCGTCCGAAGTGGGATAATCCATGTCCTCTTATCAATCAGAGAGGCTGCTGCCGCCCTGCCCTCCCGCGGCTCCGATTTTTCGGCGTCGGTGCCAAGGTTGTGTGTTTGCAGGGCTGTACAGGTTGGCCCTCGGTCGGAGTCGAGCAGTACTTCATGGCTATCGCTGGGGTCGGGTTGATGGGTTGGTCGACCGACCCCATTTGGGGAGCCTCGAAACGGAAGGCAAGCCTGGCAAGTGGAATAGTCTTGGCCGTAATTTGCCTGGACGGGCACCGAGGCGAGCGAAACATGTTGTGCAAATGGCGGTAGGCACGGATGTTGTGGGTTCGGGTAGAGAGCCAGAAATATGGTGTGCGATTGCATAGTTGGGTGTTGTTTCGCGGTGCCTTCTGAATCAGACCTTTGATTGCGTGGGTCACAATGTGCTAGCGATCATGGAAGCTTTTGAAATACCATGTTTTGCATTCATGGGCAGGGAGGTGAGCGTGCTTTCATTTTGGACTCCATCGAGGCGATGATGTGGATGTCCGACACGCATCAAGCTTTGGTCAGGTTGCGTTTTGCCACGAGTTGGTCGCATCGAGGTCGAATCGCATCATATCCAGAGCGCACAAAACATATTCAACAGATGGAAGTGGGTGCGACCTTTATTAGGATGAACATTCCGCTGGAGACTTGATGCGCATACGCATCAATAAGCGACGCAATGAGATGCCACACAATTCAAAGCGCAGCGCAGCACAGCAATCCAGAGCTTAGGCATCACATTATCCTATACCCTGTGCCTAGCATGGCAGAACGTACCGTGGCGTTTGCAGCATTGCACAATACAGTTAGGTATCGCATTGACTCTGATCGCAATACGTAGCATCGCTTTGCTAAACCCAGCATGCCGTCGCGCGAAATGCATAGCATAGCATTACGTGGCATAACATAGCATAGACGGGAAGCATTTAC